CACACACACACACACACACACACACGCAAAAATAAATAAAATTTAAAAAAAAAAAAACAACAACAACAACAAACATTATAGGCACTTATGTGTACTGACTTAATATTCGCAGGAGTGACCTATGAGTTGCATACATTATCACCCTCAGATGATAGATGAGCAAACTGCAGCTTATCAGGGTTAATACTTAGTAGAATTACCTAATATAAGTATTTTTTTAATATAAGTATTAATAAATTGTCCAATTGTAAGCAAAAGAGGGAAACACTGTTTCTGTCACAACTGAGCTAGATTATTTTAGGCTACACCAAATAAAGGCAGGTCACTTTTTGTTGTCGTTGTTATTGTTATTATTACGTAGTTGGTTGTTGCAGAATCTCATGACGCAGCTCAGACTTGTGGTGATCTTGCTTTCAGCCTCCCCAGTGCTGGGATTATAGGCAAGCATCACTATGCCTGGACTCAGCCTGGCTCAGCTCACCCTGAGGGCGGGGCTGGCGTAGCATGTGGTACCAGGGATCAAACTGTAGTCCCTACACTCGCCTAAGCAAGTGCTTTAGTCCACTGAGCTATCTCGTCAACCCCAAGGCAGGTCACTCATAGAAATTACTATCAAACTGGAAAAATGCTAAGCGATGAGGAAAAGGGCTATAAACACAAACTTGGGAAGTGTGCCCTGGCCTTGGCTCCAGTGCAGCAACATACTGTGAATATAGTCTCTACCAGACAAAAGTACAAGACTGCTGAGCACCAGGCTTGATGTGCAGGCAACAACTGATACTAATACTGGCATAAAATAAACTGACTGTCTATCCTAGGCCTGTGTGACTTGCAGTGAGGCCTGTGGCTGGCATGGGAACAAAATTAAGCCCTCCGGCAAAAGGCCAGGACCAAAATCAGCAGTCTGTGAAGTCCTGACACCTCAAAGCAAGAGAACACTACAGCTGAGGACTCTGCCTCACTTACACTCCTTCTAGCTCAGTAGTCCCAACTAGCAGATCATCGGGTTACCAGCTATCTGTTCCTGCGTAGGGTTAGGGTTAGGGTTAGGAACAGATAGGGTTCCTATCTGTTCTAAAAATGCTTTCCTCTTCGAATCCCTGAACTTGCCTGCATCACAGTTCATCCTCATCGCTTCCTGCAGCCACCTGCACACCACCAATCAAGCTGTACACCTAATAAAGGCCAGGGACGCCATGCCTCAGTCTTAGCCCTTAGTGCACTTTGACCATCCTAGTGCCCCTTGTAACTAAAATACATATCTTGTCTGTATTTTATTCCTTCACTATATCCCCCAAGCAGGACCTCGAGTTTGAAATCACCCTGGGCTTTATAGTGAGCCCAAGGCCAGCCTGAAGTCTACTTTTTTAGTTGCATGATTGGCCTTTGGTCCCAATCACACTAACTAGAAGGCTGTCTTTAACTGCTCTGTGTATAATACCTACGAGGTTTTCTGTGGACTGGTTATCAGCAGGGAGATGTTTGAAGGCAGCAGGACAAGGAGCTGGCGAAACACTGGTGTCTGAGGAAGCTGAGAAGTGCACCCATCTGACAGCCAACACCATGCTGCTGTGGGATCCAACTGGTCCTTCCCCACAAGGAGGGCTGCTGGTGGGCAGACCACACAGAGGCTGGCCTGAACTGTCATTCCCTTAGACCTCCTACATTCAAGTATCTGCTGACTGACTGGTCACCATGCCTTTGTGTGACAAGTATTCTAAAATGCTGCTTCTGAGGGCACCATCTCTTCTTCTCAGGCAGTGGAAAGCAAGGGTGAAGTCTGATTTCTAAATTTACTTTACAACTCTCTTGGCTTCTCCAAGACTTTTGCCCTTCTACCTAGGAAGAAAACACCTGTGATCATCCTACTCTGTGAACTGGGGACTGAATATAAGTCAACTCTTCTACAGTAAAAACAGTACTTAAAAACATACGTCATAACCAAGACATCAAAGATTAACAGAGAAAGGAAAATAATTCATAAAAGGCAAAAAGTAACTTGTTAACAAGTATAAAGACAATGTTCACATTTGTCGGTCATCCTAAAGCTGCAATTAAAGCAACTCCATAATCCCACTTGAGATCTACTACAGTTACAACTTCAACAACCTAACAATTCTCAGTCTCTAGTTTAAAAATTGGGAAACTGGGGCCGGGGAGATGGCTCAGTAGGATAAGCTCTTGACTGGCAAACGCAAGGATCTGAGTTCAATCCCCGGTTCCGAAAAAAAAAAAAAAAAAAAAATTGGGAAGCTATTTCGAGAATCAATTTGGTAAAACACTTTCAAGACATAGCAATATTAACACATAAAATGATATAAAGTTTGGAACGTCCCTCAAAATAACCCAGAGTTAAGGAGAAGAGATGGAGTTAGAGATGAAAGATGATCCCTAATGTGGTAACTGCTGAAGCTAGTGATGGTTCATTAAGTCACTATCCCACTCCATGTGACAGAAAACTTGCACTGCTTTCTGTCTCAAAAAACCCAAAATATCTTTAGATTTTAACATATCAATTTAATACACTAAAAATGTATTTAAGACATATTTAACAGAATAGAATAAAAATAACTGAACAATTCAAAGCAGTATTTACTGCAAGAGCAAAAACAACAACAACAAAAAAACAAACGCTCTCAGTATCGGCAGGTCTAACTAATAATGTATCCACCCAATATAATACAAAATCACTAGGAATACATAAGAATATTTTGTAGCACTCTGTGCTGCATATAAAATCTGAAATTCAGAACAGAAATATAAAAAGCAATACAATAACCATTTAATGTCATAATTATATTTTATTGGTTTTTCAATGTCACATAAAAAGTCAAGCAAAGGGGCTGGCCAGATAGCTCAGCAGATTAAAGCACCTGCTTAGACAGACACAGGGACCAGGGTTCGATCCCTGACACCACATGTCATGCTAGCCCTACTCCCAGGGTGAGCTAAGACTGTGACTGAGACTGAGACTGGGTGTGGTGGTGCACACCTGTAATCCCAAAGATTGGGAGGCTGAGAAACAGGAGGATCATTACGAGTCTGATCTGTGTAGTGAAACCCTGTAGACCCTCTACTAAATACATTAAAAAAAAAAAA